TTATTACCATATTCGTTCTTTCGGTTTCTTCAACAAACTTTGACTGGTTAATCCAATGAATTCTGACCATATCGTCCGTTACAAAACTGACCTCTTGGACTTCTTGACTATCACTGGTCAGGATATTAAAATAAACGGCGGGATCTGTTAAATATGTTGTACGTGGTAAATTTAATCGTTGACTAAACTTTCACCAGAACCTGTAAATAAAATAATATAAATGAAAATAAGTTTAGCTAAAACAATCTCTAATTCAATTAAATATAGGCAACAGTAGTATACCGCTGTTCAAAAATTACAATTTACAAGTACAAATTTAAAACATGTGCCTATATACTTTAAGTTTTTTTTTATTATTATCATTATCTTGTATAATGAACAACTAACCTGTTAAGCATTAATTTAGCCAGTTGTCTAAATCCTGGGTTCCAATTCATGTTTTGTGCATCAAGCCTTCTTTTTTGAAGTAGTCATCTACGTACTTTTGACGGTCTTCTTCTGTTTTGCTCCAATCGGGCCACCCACTTGCCTCTTGTTTGATTTTTAGAAATGTATTTAAATATTTTGTTAAATCACCAACCTGTCTTATAAGTGGGTCATATTGTGAAACGTTTCCAAATGCCAGACTTCATATATTTCTTCTATCTTATAACCTTTTTGTACGGCATTTTTGTTTTTGTCATTAACCCAAGTACCTATCAAAGCTCTGCTATCGACGTCATGGCAACGGTCTTCAGTAACACCATCTTCCATACAAGTCCGACATAATCCAAACATCAGTTTTCCTCTTATTCTAGCGGGAAGAACGGGGAGATATAAATTATTCGTTTTGACCACATTTTTGGCAGCGTGTGCTACTGCCTACCTCTTTTGACATACATTCTTCACATACTCTATGAACCACACATACATTTGGCGTGTGCTTTCTAGTACCACACCACGATTGTTTGCAATTGATGCATGTTTTCTCCTCTGTGGTTGGTTTATATCCACGATCACATTGCAGTAAATCATCTTGTCTACATTCAAAATCAAAAAATCAAAATTTTTTTGACTTTTCCTTCAGTAAACTTTGAGCAGCTGACTGGTCAATTTCGTGTGTGCTCTGTGAAAGGGAATTTTTTTTTGGTTTGCTCTGGTAACATATAACATTGTTGACTCTCGAGAAAGTAATCTTTACAAACTCTACAGTATTGCTCGCCACACTTGTGAGGTGTTATGTAATTTAGCATATACAGACTGACCACATTGGTTACATCTAAAGTAAGTGTTGCACGTTGACTGGCCTGAATTACTTCTTTCTTTGTAGAAATGTTGTTACGAAAATAGCGATTGCAATCCTCACAATATTTCCACTGTTCTTCCTGTACATCATAGATTTTATAACAATGGTGGCAGGAATTATTACATGCATGACGTTCTTTATGGTCGTACCCCTTGTTGCATATCGTACAGTAGTAACTTCGGCCTAGAAATGCTGGCATTTTAGTGATGACATCATAGTGGTTATCGTGAAGGTAGAGATAAATTTTCTTTTCCGCTTCTGGTCCTTCATAAATTATTGCATTAAAATGCTCTTTCGAGACAACGTGTATTTGATATCCGTCTAATACTCATTGAAAAGACTTTATATCGTCTATTTCACATCTACGTAATGGCATATCAGCATTATGGTGTAACTTTTTGGCTAAATTAATTTGTATATTTCTGCCCTTTTGAATTGAATTCCATTTTGCATGCCCATCTTATCTAGCTTTGGCTGTCATTATGGCTCTGGCGCAACATAAGTCATCATTGTTTTGAATTTGGGGAAAACATCTTTTTTCCTCTAAAGTTTTTCCCAGATCCACATATTGACATAGTTTTCCTATACCACCAGATGGAAGACTTACATGTATGAGTTCTATTTCCAGGGCTTCATCCATCACAAATTGCTCGTAAGACTGTAAAACTCTTTCAATTTTAGTCAGAAATCGCTCTGCATTCAACTGGGATAGTTTCATAAACGGCAAAGAGATTGGAAAGTGGAGGTCTGGACATTGAACTGATAGTCGAACAATTCTGTAGGTTTCACAAATTCTGTGACATCCTTTATCATTGAATTAAAAACGATGCGGAGACTCCTTAAAATGTTCGGAATCCCTCTCACATCTAGCTCACGAAATGCTACTTTATATCTGGTCGAAGTCGTGTTAAATTTGGGCATTTTCTGAGTTCCAACAGCACTTATTGTGTACGAATCACTTGGGTCGTCATATTTTGTTATTTTCCTTTTCATTGGGGTCCATCTTGTGTTGCTTTCCTTTTTACACCTACACCAGACTGATTATGAAAGTTTTGTTTATGTAAGGATAAAAGATCCGGATGACTAAACACCCTTTTACATGTCTCACACCTATAGAACTCTGAACTGCTGTGTTTTCTTTCATGACTCTCTAAGTTATCCTTTCTGTGAAACCCCTTGTCACACACAAGGCATCTGTAGACGTCTTGATGTCCTATTATTCTTTTATGTTCATCAAGTAAACTGCGTTTGGAAAATGTAGCACCACATTGTTGAAACTCATATTTTCTTGACATCTTTCCTCGATGATGATCCAACTCGAACTGAAGAATATCTGTAAAGAAAATGAATATATAAGAAGTTGAATATTCACTTGTATAAAAACAGATTCTGAACGAAATATTTTCATTCCTAATTTTGTGTTTGAAGTGAGAAGACGTATAAGTGCCCTTATTGTTCAGTGTGATTTTCCAGAAAAGACTATATGCAAAGACACATGAATAATATTGATGAGAAGGAACCTTCAAAAACAGATTTACAATCTCTTAAAACATTGCAACGTGTAGACAATGTCATTTTAGTTCACCCTTTTACTATGATGTTGGCTTGATCAACAGGGTCGGGAAAAACGTTTTGGATGAAAATGCTCTTGGAGATAGCACAAAGCATGACAAAACCATCGACAGAGAGGATAATACGGTGTTATAAACGATGACAGCCATTATTTACTGAATTGCAACAGACGATCAAGAACATTACTTCCGTTCAACGATTCATTTATAAACACTAAATACCCTAGTCTTTTGATAATAGATGATCTAATGAAAAACGCAACGAACAGTAAAGATGTGAACGAGTTATTTGTCGAGCGAAGCCATCACCGTATCTTGAGTGTAACATGCATCGTACAGAATGCTTAGTCGACAGGAAAGGAAAATAGAACGATGAGCATTTATAGCTAGTACATAGTTCTCTTCAAAAATCCACGTGATCAAGTTACACCTCCTGTATTTGCTAGACAGATGTATCCAAACAATTCAAAAAGATTCATGAACAAATATACTGAAGGAATTAAAAGACCATACGGATACCTGTATGTAGATCTGAAGCAGAACACACCAGAAGAAGGAAGATTAAAAACTGATATATTTAATGAACGAAATTTATAGGCGGAAAGTTCTAAGGTCATAATTGGCGGTTGAGGTGGTGGTGTTGGTATGACGAAGTATAAAAACGACGAAACTAACATTATTGATCATTTTGAAGGTAGACGTACACGAGAGCAGTCGCTTTCTGGAGACTTGTCCGAACTTGTTGAAACTAAAGAAGAGAAGATGCTTTCCTGTGACGAATGTGGGTTAATGTTAATGGGCATATATTACATAACAATCATATAGTAAAATGTAGTATTACATTTAACTTATATTATACATTATTACATAACAGTCAATCAGCAATATGCATTATAACACAATAGTTAATTAGCATGTGTATTATTACATCATAATAATAATCGGCAGTATTACGTAATCTCAAAAAAACGAAAAAAAACGCAGGAAAAAGTGGTCGATACGAACGACCTTGACTACTTTTAACTATATTTTTTTTATCTATTTGGCTTATAGCTTTTCACCTTTTTTTTTTTTTTTTTTGATTTTCAAATATTTTGGCCTCGAGCATCACTGTAAGACACATTATGTTGAAATGCGCATCTGGTGGTAAAAAGCCCAATCTTTTATATAGGTGCGAAAGTCGAGGATATTTTAATCCCTATATTGCACGTTTAAAAAAACATAGCAGTGGATACAATTTACTCTAGGATTTTTTGTGAAAAAACTACTTATTTAAATTTGCAAGTTGCTATTTTGGATGCTCATAGAAAAAATACAAATGTTGCAGTTTTGTCCAAATTGTGACGTTTACATTTGCATTCTGACTTAGTTAAACGTGTTTTAGTATACAAATGTAATGGCATCGTTTAGCAAATCGTGATTCCTCATTTTACCCGTATTAAAAGCAGCATATTATTGTTCTAAAAAGCTATTTGAATAAAAAAAAAATCCTTATTGGTATGGATTAGGTAACGCTATTACGAACAAAAAACATGTATAGAAAACCAATACCAGCAACATATTCAATATTCAATTTACACTGTGGTTTGATTGTTATTGGATATTATACGGCATTATGGACAAACACCTTGGCATACATAAAGATGGTAAACTGCTAACTGATGTAGCGTTCAAGTGTAATTTTGAACAATTTGTCTTTTTTTTATCAAAGGTTATGTATTACTAGATTACGAATGTACTCGTGTTTGTCAGTTTTCTTTGTGTAGAGTTCAGTTCATGACCCCGTTTTTTCAAATGTGGTGGTGTCGATAAACGCATTTTCTTCGCTTGAAAATTCAGATGTTATATATATATTAATGACATTGCTATTGTGAAATAGGTCAACGTATTTCCTTACTTTGTTTCTTTCAAAAAAAACTCGTGGTCAACAGTGAAATTTAAATTAAGTGACTTCATGTATATATTAAGGAATTTAAATCGAAAGTAAAACTTTGATAACGTCTTCTTTCCTAGAAATTGAAATATTGGTCATATTATCGACGCAAAACTACAGCCGAATACCTTTTTCAATTTTTACAATCGACTGTACATGATAATAAATATCAATATATTGATATTGTGTCCACTTTTGATATTTAATTTAGAAAACCATGGCAATGGCAAGTGGTTCAATTGATTCTATTCGGGATGAAACTGATTTGGAAAAGTTCATCAGAGACCATGTCCAAACGGATGATGCCTTCAGACGTGTATGTAAAGGTGTCATTAAGAATGTCAGTGATATTTTGAAGAATAACATAGAGGGAAAATACAGACCAGATGAAGTCTTAAAGGTGAGAATATGCAGTCACAACCACATAAAAAAGATGCCAGCTCCATTGTCTGGATACACCTAAAGCTTGTTTAAAATGAAAGGTATTAAAGTAATAAAATAATGATATACGCAATAAAAACTCATCAAGGATACCAGACTGATGATATGGTATCAAGATGCGCGTTTCGTCCAATTTGTCTCATCAATGTCGCTCGAATCAAAACTATTTGAAGGAAAAAAATATCAGGCTCATAACTTGGTACACTAAGTGGGGATACCACGAAACGTCCACCTGCATTGGCCTTGAACTAGCGATTGTAAAAACTAATTAGAGATATCAGGATTATAATTTGGTCGCCAGACGCCGGTTTTGTCTTCATTTGACAAATAAGGTGCGCTCTAATTTAAACCTATTTTTTTTTCATTTTCGTGGCCACTGGGAGTTACCGACATATAGCAGACAGAAAATTTGAAGCGAACTAAAAAAAAAACAACTTAGTAGGTCATAATTAGTCTTTTAATGCGCTTTAATTTTCAGTTTATTAGCAGAATGGTTAGTTCCCTTTTTTGGCAGAAAACTGAAAAAGCTGACTGAAGATAAATATGAATGCTGCTGAATTTTTTACAAGAAAAATGCAATTACAAGTAACTATAGACAAAACTCCTCTTTTTTAGTTGGATGATTAGTCTATTCAAATTTGTTTACCCGTATGTGTATATGAATGTAAAATCTTTTAAATGAACTACATTTTTGACATAACAAAGAAATTTCATATACAAATTTTCAAATGTTGTAGCAATTCACAAGACGACATATTTTGTGTACATTTGTTTCCCTTTTGTACTGATTCATTCTATTATTTCCCAGATGCTTTTTAAGAAAAAACCGAAAAAGACATAATGCGATCTTCAAGATTTTTCATACTATCTTTGAGAATTTCTGATGGTACAGCATACTTTGGACACCACTTAAACAAGACCGAAGCATATGAATAGAGTACAATGTTTTGTAGTAACGCTGTTTCCAAAGTTTGTTCTTGAATCCGAAATCATGCTATGAATATTACAATTTTAAATTCCTAGAATAACCAAGCGTGTAATAACTTACACCACGAACCCTTATTTCATATTCTGACCCCAGAAACAACATCATCTAATAGTTTGTTCAACTTAATATACGGTACCAATTTTGCGTGGTTTCCTAACGTTCACAAAACTTGGGGTTTGAATTTCTTCGTAAACCGTGAAAACTTGTATACCTTGTGTGAATTCGGCATGATAACAATTTTACAATAACTGTGTATTATGGGCAGAGCCATATGATGGTGTCAAATATACTGTTGTTATCAATAAAAACAATTTTTGATCTTTCACGTTCAAACGAAGTATTCTGGCTGATGCTATCAATATTTCCCAAATGTTAACTCTTTTCTCGTTTTTCTAATTGTTTTTATTTGCAGCCCTACAATGTTTTTAGCTAACCTAAGCCTTATTGAAATGCTACTATCTTGTCAAAATCCATACTCCCAACGCCGTTGTTTTTGTTCATAATTATAAGTTAACTGTTAACAAAAATTTGACTTTTTCGAAATATTAGGGATTTTCTACCCCAGGAATAGATTACCTAAGCTGTAATTGTCAAAACCTTTCGAAATTTTGGGTCCTCAATGCACTTCAACTTCGTACTTTTTAACGTTTTTGATTCGAGCGTCACAAACGCGCGTCTGGCGTTCAAAATTTTAATCCTGTTATCTATGACGAGTGTATTGATCTTTCTTGATATAAAGCAAATATCCTCATTCTTATATTTAGACTGGATCGACTGCAAAGGGAACGGCTATAAAAGGGAAGTCCGATGTAGATTTAGTTTTCTTTTTGTCAAGAACAGAATATCAATCTATTGATCAACTTTACGATGACCTGCCGACAATCTTGAGCGATATTAGTAAAGCACTGGTCATGAAGCCACAATTCAAGAATGTGCGTGTACAACGAAGAGCAGTCTCATTCCAAACAGATTGTAGGGAACCTGGGACTGGTCATGCCCATGTTATAGATGTTGACATTTTACCAGCTGTTAACTTTGGAGATGGTAAGAATACATTTTATTATTTGTTTTACTTTTCTCAAACACACAATTTGTACCTTAAGAATATACCTGGTAAACTTGTTCTTCAGATTTGAACAAGAGTTTCATTTCTTTCCTAATGCTTCAGTCTCAATCACAAGGATGTTTCCAGGTTTTTATTTTATATTAAGTAAGAGTTCTGGTACAATACCAGTATGCTAACTGTCATAAAAATGAATAAGCCGCTAAGGTGGAATCTTAATTGGAATCTGCTCCTCTTGAATGACAATCTTAATTGGCAAAAATACCTTACATTATTTAAGAGACTATATTACACAATTCAATGCACAATCTGTACCTCAATAGTGTACCTGGTAAATGCAAAAGACATTATATCTTTAACTTTTATTACCCTTGGTTTATACTGCATAAAATTATTATGTCAATTATTACTCTAGGACTCTAAGGCGAATGATTAAGAAGATGTAATTTTTTCAAACAAAAGAAAATTGTGTATAAATTAGAAAAAAATGCAAATGAGGTCTGTTATATTTGTAAAATTAGTGCCAACAAAAACCATGTCCAATGAATCTAAATTTTGAATTACAGTTATCAATCAATTGCTTAAAACATTAAGAAAAGCTGCTTAAATTTAACCTGAATAAACGTAATATCATTTATTAAAGATTTATTCACCATAATATTGCTTTTTGACATTACATGTACACAGTTATAGTATTTGTATACTTTTAAACAGGAAATGTGATTTTGTTTCTGGAAAATGTGAAATTACATTCCAATAGAAATTAGTTGCAAATATCTCTTTCCGTACATCAATCCAAAGACGAAGAATTTTTAATGATGGTAATTAAACATTCCTTCGGCCCTACAACCATTCATAGGCAGTGTCACATGACTTTGATCAAAATCAATAAGCAATCTTTTGAGTAATAAAAATAGTTTGTCTATGTTTGAACAGAGAAATACCCGCAAATGATCTGTATCACGTATTGTTTAATTTGAGGAGAAACAAACGTTAGTCTAGATTTCCTTTATCTATTTATCATAGGTTTACTGAGAAAGTACATAGATAAACCTTTTAGAAGTAGTTGTTTGTGTTTTGTCTTGTTTAAAAGAATGTATACTTTAAACGTGAAACTGAAAAGACGATTTGATAAATATACAATTAAAAAGAAATATGTTCTGTGAAAATATAGTGACCCAATGATATTGATACTCATTATACTAAGTTTATCTACTGCATAAATTGCTTATCTTTCTAAAGATCTACAGTAATGCTATATAACATTTTCTGTCCACCACCGTATCTTAACGAATGACTTCAATATGAGGGAAATTATGCACACAACTCCTCCAATCTTTCTATCAGTGATTAAGATAGAACTCTTTGATTTAAAACATCGTTATTTGATTTATTTTTAATGATTTGTTATCATATCTTAAAAGAGGATTTTAGACTTAAGTTTTCTGTGTTGGTTTTTGGATACTGTTGTTTGTCATTTGGTCTTTTTATTTGTTTGCCATGGCGTTGTCGGATTATTTTCGACTTATGAGTGTGGATGTCCCTTTTGGATCTTTCGCCTCTCCTTTAAGATTCGTAAACTAAACATAATAACCATTATCATGATTTGGTTTTAGTTGATATAAGGATTATCCACTCCGAAATGAAAGAAGCATCAGCTGAAAAACGTAATCTGTATACCCCGTCTTTGACAAAATGGCAGAGAGATTTCATCAAGAAGGATAGAACAGAGCAAGTGAAAAAACTAATCAGATTTGTAAAGTTCTGGAAGAATGTTAATGTTCAGGTATTGTCAATTACCTTACTTATTTAAAAACAGATATCGGACGTACATTCAAATCCATTCAGTCGAAAATACACTGAAAACACCATGGCAATTAAAATCAGCGAACACATATTGCATTACTTTCCGAATTATTTGTCGTCTTTTACTTCCCTTTTTCTAGTTGTTTATCAATCTGCTGGTAGCTTCACTGAGCATATATTTTTGTGTGTTTTATTTTCACAACATATTGTCTAGATAGGCAAAGTGGAGGCTTCTGTGCACGTAAAACGTATTTAACCCTACCTAGTTTATGCCTGTTTCAAGTCAGACTACCTAGACCATGTGCTGTTCGTTGATATTTGTCGTTGCTTACACGTCATTTTTTTGGTTTAGTGGGGTACGTGTTGGTGGTTGGTGAGGTCAATTATTCTGTCCAATTTTCATATTTACGTGTATATTTCTATATTTTATATATATAATTGTTACAGGTTTCCAATTTAATAGTATAGAATGTTTATCTTTAAATATTATCTTTATCAGTACTAACATTGATTTTGTTTTCAAACGTTTTACATATTTGCTACAGATTCAAAAATGTATCACTATCCAGATTTGACCACGCAATATCCAATGTTCTGTCGATTCTTACGTTTTGGTATTACACAAGGTTCAAGGTCGTGCATTTTAGCAGACTGCTTTTGACGATTTCATTGTTATTCCGTTGCAGGTGTACTAAAAAGAATTTTAATTGGGGAACATATTTATCAGTTGCTATTTACAAATTTGTGTAATGGTGTGCTGTTACACCAATATCCGAGGCTATGAGGAGGGTATAAACATATTTTTATCATTTTTGACCCCGCCGCATCATGATTGAGTCTGTAGTTCCGTTTTTTTGTTCGATGCTGTTTTTTTTATATTTGTTGTTTGATTAATATTAAGAGATGAAATCGGGTAAATATTTTCTTCTGTTATTTTGTTTTGCATTTTATCAACCGGATTTTACTTACGTTATCGGTTTTTCTCATTGTTGAAGGTCATACAGAGCCCCGAAGTTATAAACATTCGAATCATGTTGTCTCTTTTTCTGGATATTTTCATATTCATTGTTTCTTTGTAAATATTGGCCCATACGAATAACGA